AAGTATCACTAAAAAATCAATTTGACCCCAAATATAAAAAAAATTAAATTGAAATATTTAAAAACTTTATCTCAAATATAAGGAAGGTAAATTTTAACTAGGGTTAAATTCATTTTACCACCTTGTAGTTTGGGGTTAGAGCTCTTTTTACCTCTCTATCGTTCAAATATAATTAGAAATCCCCTATGTGATTTTGGACTAAAGTGCTACCGTTAGTTTTTCCATCTAAACTAACGAAAAGTGTATTACACACACCATTTTTTAGAATGGGTTTTATATTCGAAAAAATATAATGAAATTAGTGAATAAAAATGACAATTTTATCCCCATTTTCTTCAAATCTACAATTAGATTAATATGTTAAAATAAAATAAAATAAAATAAAATATAATTAACAATTGATTTAAAATATAATTAAATAAAATATAAAATAGACAATAATTAAGAATTGATATAAAATGCAATTAAATTAACACGTTAGAAATTATAATAAATAATTAAGAATTTATAATTAATTGTGATCTAAAATATAATTAAATTAAAATTAGTATAAAAAGTTTGTAATTACAATAAATAGTTAAAAATTTTGGATTAATTGTGATATAAAATATAATTAAATTAAAATTAGAATAAAAATTTAAAAATTAAAATTAATAATTAAGAATTTATAATTAATTATTGAGAGGGAGATTTCTAACCAGACATGGGCCGAGCTAGTTTGGGCTTCGATCGAGGTCTTAACTCGGGCAAAACAAGGCTGCACACTCGACTAGAGTCTTGGCGCCGCCAAACGTTGGATACGCTTCGGACTGGGATGTGCATTTCGCTAAGTTTGACGAAATTTGTCATGAGAAGACCAAGTTTGACTGAGCAAGAGCTCGTTGTGGGCTGTAGACCTCGGTTGAGCTCGCGCGCAGGTTAGTCCGAAGGGACCAGGCATATAGCCCAGCCCTGAGGGAAAACTGTGGAACCGTGCTTGGCACAGTTCGGTAAGGTGTGCTACGTAGCGTGTTTGGATTGCAGAAGGAGATTTCGTCGTCCATACGCGTCAATACCGTTACGCGGTTTCTCCATTTAGTGTTTGGCGGTATTTATGCTTACACGTGGAAGAAGGTAAGTAGGGAACATATCCACGCGTCAGAAGAAGGATGGACAGAGAGGAGTGCGTAGAAACTATATAAACAGTGTTGTGCTTTTATGCCTAGGTCTGGAACTTCTGCTTATTAGAGCTACCTACCCCTTTCTCTTCTCTCTTTACTTCTCTATCTCTCTCTCTAAGTGTGCTAACTTGACCGTCGGAGGGGTTTTCCCACTACACACCGTTGGGTAGCCCACCGTCTTTGTGTTCTTAGGTCATTCGAAAAGAAGCGAAGCTTAGACACGAGGAGTACAGAAAACGATGAATATTTGCTCCCTGTACAATTGGCTCCATTTGTGGGAAACGTTGACAGACAAAACCTTGTCTTCTAAGCTTTTCCGATCACTTTTTTATGGCGCACAACGACGAAATCCCGCTGTCAGTCGTTGATGGTATCACTCCAGAGTTCGTCCGGAGAAGAGCCGGCCCTCCCACCATTCTGACCACGGTGAGCCTCGATACTTCCTTTAGAGGGCTCTTTAGAGATGCCCGAGATAAATGCACAAGGAGCACTAACCAGTCATAAAGCCTCGACGGGCATCGACGGCGAAGAGATTCACACATTCAACGCCTGAAGCGTAAGCTGAGAGACCATGATGCCATTATTCAGAGAAAGGCGCTGAAGCTGCAGATCAAATGGAAGGGTGTTGTTGGAGTGGGAAACCATAGTGAGCTCACCCAACCCTGTCATTCAGGTAGCCAAAACCAACGAGGGACGCCCTTCTTCTTCATCACCAGAAGCTACGGAGTGGGTGATTTTGACTCGTCGGCGGAGAGGCCATGCACATGAAACAGTAGCTATCGTCCCCCATGTCCATCGATGACGTCGAGATACTCTTACTCCGCCCGTTTAGAGGACATGAGAGATGTCTTGGAGAAGCGAGCGCGACGGCGAGAGATGTAAAGGGTGCCAGCATTGCAACGGCTGACCCACGGAGGTCGCGCTAGTGAAGAGCTAGTCATGCCGCCACCAAGACAAGCTACACACATGCCGTTAGATAGGGATTTGGCGAGGTTGAGTGCCATCCCTTTCTCCCTCAAGATAGAGAACACGCCACTTCCCGTTGGCTTCTTCCAGCCCAAGTTCACACACTATGACAGAAAAACTAATCCGCACATGCACGTGAGCCATTTCTGGCAGGTGATAGCTGGCCACTGCCGCAACGATGCATTGATGTGCCTTATTTTCCCTTCGAGTTTGGGTGAGTTGGGCTTGCAATGGTTCAAGAGATTGCCGAAGGAAAGTATCGAGCGATGGCAACAACTGGTTAAGGCATTCGTGACCCGTTTCAAAACCAATACCAAAGCGCCCAAAGAAGTCGACCATCTTCTAGGCATTAAGATGGAATCAGGCGACTCACTCAAGGCGTACAACGCTAGGCATTGGGAAACATTTAATGAAATTCTTGATTGCCTGACCAACCAGGCAATCATCTAGTACAAGTGCGGTCTCCCGGTCGGACATAGACTACGAGACTCGTTCACTATAAGTCAACCAACAACCATGGAGCTACTAATGCAACGCATCAACAAGCACATTCGATTTGAGAATGATGAGACCACCGCTACCGCGAAGGTGAATCCGGTAGCAGTGGACAAAAAGATGGTCGGAAAGGTTCACCCGGTCGGACAAAAGGCAAACAGTCTGCACAACCGTGAAAAAGAACAAGGCCGCGACGCTAACCGCAATAATCGAGGTAAGGGTTGTCACAACGACCGAGCTGACTAAAAAAACTTAATAATAAATAAATAAATAAAATAATATTAATAATAGTAAGGGTAAAATTACAGTGATGCCTGTTGATAAAAAAGTATACTATCATAATTTTTTTCATAATTACAATAACTTCTCTTTGAGTAGGATTAAGAGATCGAAATTAATACAAATGATATGAAAATATATGATTAAACAAAAAATATATATATAAATTTTAATGTAAAAAGAGATGATAATATTATTTTTCCATCCAAGTGACTAGCAAAGTATTAATGAAAATAGGATTAAGTGTTATGTGAATTAAAATATTGAGGGAACTCAATATAATTACGTCAAAATTGTGAGACTTAATATTTTTTCTCTAAATCTTAAGAAACCTCAGTATAATTTACTCTTATTAAATAATAAATTAATTAATTTTCATTTTTTAATTAATCAAAAAATATTTTATTAGTTATTTATTTAAGAAAATTAAATTTAGTTATGTAAAAATCTGTTTGATCAATAATATCGTGATGACAATGGCTAGTGTTGACATGACGCATAAGAGTAGATAATGGGGAATGGAGGCCAGGGTTTACATGCAAGAAAAAGAGAAGATGAAACTATCACTACAATTATAGTAATTTATTATTAAATGTTTAATTTTGTTGTTAAAAATATATCAATTATAATTTTGATTGATAAGATATTACGTTTTTAAAAAGTAAATTTGCTCCTAAATTTTTTTTCTTTAAAATCATAATTTGGTGTGTTTGGATTTACCAGCTTTGTTAAGGAAAGGAAAATAAATGAGGAACGAATTTATATAAAATTATTCATATTTTTACCCCCATCATAAAAATAAAAATAAAAATAAAAAAGCTTGCTTGTTTTCGGTTTTTCAAAAATACTTTTCAGAAAATTCTACTTTCTTGTTTTCCTTTTTTTTTCTATTGAATTTTTTAATATTTTAAGCAAATTTTTTTTTTAAATACAACTAACATAAATACACATAAAAAGTAATTTTTGTGAAAAAATCTTTTAAAAATTCGCTAAATATCAAAAATACAAAAAAAAAATTCAGTATATTTTTTTTATTTTTATGTATTTATTAATTTTTTAAAATATTTTTTTCACATTTTTTTTTATTTTTTAGATATATCTAAGTAAGGTCCATCTAAAAAAGTAAAAAAAATTAAAATTTTAAAAATATTTACTAAAAACAATACGAAAAATAAAAAATTATGTTTTCAAAAAATTTAATCCAAAAAACTCGAACCAAACACACACATTAATATCTGTTCATTTCATTCATATTTTCCTACGTCAAATAAATAAATAAATTTAATTTCTTTAACTTTATTTACTTTCTCTTTCCATCACAAAATTTAAGATACAAAGGTAGGTCCAAACAGTCTTCTCCATACGGCAAAGACTTGGGTGCACTCTTACTTTGATTCCTTCAAAATTGATTGTTCGACAGTCAAAAGGCAATTTAAGTCTTTATAGTTTTTTTGGGTGAAGCCAGTACCCAGTTTCCAAAAGGAATGATAAGTTACCCATTTTGAACGCGTAAAGGATGATTGACTGGCTTGATGATTTCTTCATGATGATCATCATGATGGTGTAAAGTTTATTATTATTTATTTATAATTAAAAAAGTTATTTATTTTAATTTTTTTCTAAAAATAAAATGGAAAGGATGCATGATACGCATAAGTTTGTTTGTTTGTATTTTTTTTTTTTAAACAAAATTAGTGAGTTGTTGAGCCCCAAAGCTTGAGGTGGAGGATTGGTAGATTGCTGAAGGTGGTGGCAAGAGGTGAAAAATTTTAAAACTATTTTCATTGTTTTAACCCCCAAAAAAAAAAATGTTATTTGTTTCTGGTTTTTTTTTAAAAAAAAATTTTAATTTTTTATTTTTTTTTGTCAATAATTAGTTAGTTTATTTATTTTTTTTGTCAATAATTAGTTAGTCGTATGAATGTCATCTCTTTTCTATTAAGATATATATTTATCTTTATTTATTTTAATGTCTATTGACTGTATGCGTTAGTTTTAATTATTTTAACTTTACTAAAAGATAGTGAAAACTCAAAAGGGATGAGTGTAATTTATTATCTTAACATAAATATTGAGGACCTCCTATTTGAAGTCACCATGGTCTCAAACACTTTCCTCATACTCTTAGAGATATGGTCTCTCTTCTCCAATTCTCAGCAACTATTCCATTCATTCTATCATTTCTGCAATTTGTTAGCCCCTCACCAACCTTTCTCATGTGCAAGTGTGACAACCAATTTAATTACACACAAAACAATCATGTGTTTCAAAACAATCTCAACAACATACTCACAAATCTTTCCTCTGAAACCCCCCTAACCAACTTCTACAACTCCACCTTTGGTAAAAATAAAGATACAGTCTATGCACTCCGCTTTTGTCCCGCATACATTGCCACACAAGATTGCCTAGCCTGTGTCCAAACTGCTTCACAATTGATCACCCAAAGCTGCCCAAATCAGAAAAAAGCTATTATATACTATGTGGAATGTGTTGTACGATACGCAAACTATTCCTTCTTCTCCACTGAAGATGGAATACCCGAGGTTTATTGGAACAGTACAACCATTTTTTACAATCCTGATCAACTTGATCAAGTGATGACAAATACAATGTACGGACTTATTAGTAAGGCTGCTTTCGGTTCTTCAACAACAACAAAGTTTGCAACAGGAGAAAGCAAAATCATTAGTTCTTCTTTTCAGAAGTTGTATTGCTTTGCCCAGTGCACTCCTGATATAAATGGAAGAGCTTGTAGGGGATGTTTACAGACTGCACTCAGTTATATTCAGGATAACAGTTTTGGGAATGAGTGGTCACTGATGTATGGGCCAAACTGTCAGATGAGGTATAGTTTGGAAGCTTTTTATGATGTAGTCTCTCCTCCTTCTCCCTCATTGCCACCTTCTGGTTCCACGGAAAACACAAACATCAACACAACAGCCCCTCCTCCATTACAGCTATCTTCAGGTAGACTCTTATTAATAAGGTAGTTTATTTATTATTTATTTTTTTGGGTTGGAAATTTTATTTTATCCGCTTATAGTTTGACCCATATATAGATTAATTTCTTTATTATTTAGAAATAAGCACATAACTTTCTTATGGTTTGTTGTGGACTAAAGTGCATGGTCAATCATTTCGTCTAAGTTAATAGTAAGCGTAAAACATGTATCAGGATACATTACAACATATAAAAGTTTTAAAAACTAATTATTTGGTCTCTAAAAGTAAAAATTTTGTTATAAAAGACATTTAGGAATTAATTTTTATTATTGTAAAGATAGTCGCTAAAAAATTGTCTTGAAAAGTCAAAAATAAGGCTTTTAAAACAAAATTTTAAAAATGTCACTAATAAATACATTTTTAGGGAAAAAAATAATTTGGTCTAAAACAAGTTTATTTTTTGAGACAAAAAATTTAGTCCCAAAAAGATAACAATTCATTACTAATATCCAAATTTATTACTAAAATTATAATAACGACACTTTTCGCAACAAAAATATTTGGTCCCTAAAAATAATTTTGTTCCTAAATTTTGGTGTCTAAAACTTTAATTTTTTGTAGTGATATATAAGGGTTACGTGCTCATTTTCAAATGTCAGGAGTAAATCATGCAAGGAGTAAAGCAGAAGGAATTAAGATAAATTTTTCCTTTCAAAGAATGACGAAAATGTCCATGTTTTGCATAATGCAATTATTTATGTACGAGGATGTTTTAATCTTTTTGTTTAAGTCGTTAACGAATTTAACGGTGCATTTTAGTCTCCAAGAAAAATAGAATGATGTGATAATTTTCAAATCCAAGGGATCATGTGCACATTGGCCAAATCACAAGGAGTAAATTGAAATTTGTCTCTCTTTTTTTTTAATTTTATTTGCAAAAAATAATTTTAATAACTCAAAACAAAGAAATACATTGAGATAATATGAGGTGAACCCAAAAAACAAAAAAAAAACTTCTAAAGCCTGAAAAGCAGCGCGTTCATGTTGGCAAAATGACACTTTTTTTTATCGAAAAAAAAAGAATTTTATTGATGAATTCAACATGAATTATAGGAGAACAAAATATCAATAAAGGGGAGACAAAAGCAGAGAGTATTGTAGTAAATCTTTCCAATCCCAATTAAGTAGACACCAAAAAAAAAATTCAATCATATGCTAGCTTAAGTCAAGCGGTTGGTGAGGAACCAGCAGGAGAGAGGGGTAGAACAAAAACAAAACGAAGACACATCAAAAACATGCTGCACCCGCAGCAGCCAATACATCACCCCAAAACAAAAACTCTGTTCCTTCTCTGCCCCAACACACACTGCACAAGCGGAACAGTCTTCCCCAAAGCTCATACAGCGGGAGATCTAATCTGGTGTGAATTACAGGAGAACAAAATATCAATAAAGGGGAGACAAAAGCAGAGAGTATTGTAGTAAATCTTTTCAATCCCAATTAAGTAGACACCAAGAAAAAAATTCAATCATATGCTAGCTTAAGTCAAGCGGTTGGTGAGGAACCAACAGGAGAGAGGGGTAGAACAAAAACAAAACGAAGACACATCAAAAACATGCTGCACCCGCAGCAGCCAAAACATCACCCCAAAACAAAAACTCTGTTCCTTCTCTGCCCCAACACACACTGCACAAGCGGAACAGTCTTCCCCAAAGCTCATACAGCGGGAGATCTAATCTGGTGCATGTTATGTACCAGGTCTTGCAGTGAGGGCCCACATCTAGGATGATTATACTTAGCCCACAATGCAATCCTAACTTTTACCAAATCACAAACTTCGTCCACTTGCGGCTGAGTTCCACTGAAGACACATTTATTCCTACATTTCCAAATGGACCACAATAAAGCTATACTAATATTTCCAATAGTCTTGGAAATTTCATCATACTGTGGGAGATCTAATCTTGGAAATTTACATTATTTGCACACATCATAATCTCTCTACTCCAATACCTACTTGGCAATATTTCCAAATATGGAATTACCAAATCATGATAATCCTTATTATTTTTTTTTTTTAAACAGAAATCATCATGAGTTTTGGGGGTTTACTCTCTTGCTCAAGGGATTCAACTGCTGGCAACTTTTTCTAAAATTTTACCACGAATCAAAAGCTTTTTTTACTTTTTATTTTTTTATAGATCGGAAAGAAAATTTTCATTACAAAATCGATAAAAAAATCAAACCAATCTAGTAAAGCAGTAGCAAATGATCTCATATAGAGATAACAAACTTCCATAGGAGGAAGAGTCTTAGCCTAGAGAAGGAGAAAAAAACCCTTACAAACAGGGACACAACCTCCAAACAAGGAAGATTATTACAACAAATAAAAAAAAATAAAAAGCAAACCAAAAGAACCAGACCAAGTCGCCAAAAGCATCCAAAGCTCCATTACACCACAACTTTCAACTTGAAATCTGAAGACTCCACCTCTGCTAGTCAAGATGGAACATTGAGGTTGAGGTGGTGGCCTAACGTGAAACGAACGCGTTAAACAACGTCGGTTTTCAAATTGTGAGAAGATCTGAAAACATATCTTAAAGTTTTGGGTGCGAAGGTGAAAGTTTGGGCAAAAGCCAAACATTAGATTTGGAAGATCGAAAAGAGGGAGAGGCAACACCAACACCAATGGCCGGAGGCAAATCTGAAGGAGATGAGACAGATCTAGTAAGGGTGGATCTATAGAGGCGGGAAGGTGGCAAATTTGGTGGCGGCGCCGAAAAGGATTGGAAGGACAAGCTTCGAATATTATTAAGCAAAAAGATAAAGAAAAGGAGAAAGGGAGTGGAAGGAGGAGATAGGGGGCCGGCGGCCAGAACCTCCCTACTCTCAACAACACACCAAGCAGAAGAATCAAAAGTTATTGAGTCGTAAGATTTACATCATTTTTTATAATAATTTAATTATTTGAGAACAAGACACTAATAAATAGGAAAACTAAATCAATGCAAACCACATAATTTTAGAATATTTTATATTGAAATAAAATATCACCAATCAACTTTTAAAGATTTATGACCAAATTGTTAATATTATTTTTTTACCATTGTCTATGTTGCATATGTGTTATTCTGTGAATGTAGTCCACTATCAACAACCACAATTGTAGTTTATGATAAAATTTCCGTGTTGTACTTTGTGAAGACAAAGTTTTGAGAAGAAATGGTATTTATTATTGATCCATTGTCTTTAAGACAAAAACACAAATTTAAATATAAGTAATGTCAAAATTGGCCCAATCTTCAACAATACTGCTTTATCTCCACAAAAGGGCAATTTCAAATTCAGATTTTTTTTATTTTTTCACTATCTTAGTCAGAAAATATTTCTAGTTTTTGTAGGGAAGAAGAGAAACACATCTATACTTTTCATCACTACCATTACTATGTCAGCAATTTTGGTGATTCTTGTCATCTTCATTGGCATCTATTTGATAATGAGGAAAATCAGGACTTCAAGGGGGGCTATAAAAAGTAAGTAAATTCTTCACAATATATGCTTGTTTTTAGAGCTGTCACTATGTTATTTTGGAAATCATTTTCTTGAAGAAAATGCTATAGGAGAATTTGACAAACATAGTTGGAAGTGTCAACTTATCAAGTTGTTATTTTCTCAACATTGTGACGTATTCCATTACTTAGTTCAAATTTTTTAAATTTTTTTAATTTTAATTTTTTTTTTTTTTTTTTTTACTTCCTTTGAAGATCCAGATTCAACGCCATCAGCAGAATCCTTGCAATTTGACTTAGGAACAATTAGAGATGCAACGGATAATTTTTCTGCAGCTAATAAGCTTGGAGAAGGTGGATTTGGCCCCGTTTACAAGGTAATTAGATGCATCCTCATGCAGTTATAACAAAATAGAATGATCTTCAAAAACTATGCTGTGAAATGAAATGTTGCATATGACACTGTTTCTTAAATTATTCTTGCAAAATCATAGGGTGTGCTTCTAAATGGGCTAGAAATAGCTGTGAAGAAGCTCTCTAGAAACTCTAGGCAAGGGCAAGAAGAATTCAAGAATGAGGTTTTGTTATTGGCCAGGCTTCGTCACAAAAATTTGGTCCGTCTGTTGGGTTTCTGCTTGGAAGGGAAAGAATTACTTCTCATATATGAGTTCATGCCTAACAAAAGCCTTGATCATTTCATTTCATCTTTGGATTGGAAAAGCTGTAACAAAATTATACAAGGCTTTGCTCAAGGACTTCTATATCTTCATGAAGATTCTCAACATCGGATTATTCATCGTGATCTAAAAGCCAGCAACATTTTGTTGGATGCTGAGATGAATCCTAAAATTTCAGATTTTGGCACAAGCAGACTAATGGTATTGGATCAATCCCATTACACAACAAGTAAAATCATGGGTACCATGTAAGTATAAGTTTCTTTGATGTACAAAGAATTTATCTTTCCGAGATACTTGCCACTCTGAAACAAGTTGAACAAACTCATTATATCAAACGCAAACATATCTTTTTATCGAAAATGATATTGATGAATGATAATATGCAGTGGATATATGGCTCCAGAGTATTTTAAGCATGGTCATTTCTCGGTTAAGTCAGATGTCTTCAGTTTTGGTGTGATACTATTGGAAATTTTGAGCGGTCAAAAGATCTTTTGTTTCCATGATGTGGAGAATGGGGAAAACCTTCTAAGCTATGTAAGTATGAATTTTTTTTTTTTTTTTTTTTTTTTTTTTTTGGGTGGGAGTAATGATTAGATGAATTCTAATAAATCTAAAGAGCTCTGCTAAATTTCATCTTCACTAAGCTTGAACTCTTGCAGGCATGGAAGAGTTGGAAGAAAAATATAGCTCTAGATATAGTGGATTCAACATTGATGACAGGTTCAAAAAGTGAGATTATGAGATGTTTCCATATTGGTTTATTGTGCGTTCAAGAAAATCCAACAGACAGACCAACGATGGCTTCAGTTGTTAACATGCTCATTAGCTCCTCTTTCACACTCTCATTGCCTGCACGTCCTGCATATTTTGTGCCTAAAAGCATTGACCCAGGCAATTCGTTGCATGAGTTCAATTCAATGGTGACAAAGTTAGATCAGTCTGAAATTAAATCATCACAAGGGTCAGTAAATGAGGATACAATTACTGAGCTTGTTTGTCGATAGAAGTGAAACAAGTTGTAGCTCTATTTAAATGTTTATTTTGGAAACAATTTGATGTACTATCTTACCCTTTCTGATTGTTGTTTAGATGTACCATTCCTCTTTTTTTCATTTCCATGAATCTGCTATATAATTTATTACTATATTTACAATCAATAATATGTTTTCACATTTGTATTTCAATACAAAAATTATTCTAATGTTAGAATAATGGAAAAACCAAGTTGGTACTGATCATCCTTAAGGGATGAAAATGTATTATTTGTTTGTTTCGTGTAAAAGTGTATTGTTTATAGTACCCACATATGTGCGTACCAGATTCCGCACTAGATGAAAGTGGATCGGGGCCCTACACTCGGTTGGACTATCCAGTGACTGGGATTCTTGCCAAAAGAAACACCGTTAGAGCTGCCCCGCCGGGGTTGGCCGGATAACCCCTCCAGTGTGGGAATCAGTGATCGGAGAAGAGGTGTATGTAGAATTGAATCTCTCTCTATGTATGATTTTGCTTGGAATAGTTCAATTACCTTCAATGTGAAGTTCATGTTGTATATATAGTGTTCCTTGCTTGCTTCTCAAGGTGGGTTCCTGGAGCTTGGATGCTGCCTAGTGTCCTTTTAGCATTGCTCCAGATGGGGGACCACCTGGTAGTTATCATTGAATGCATATATTCATTGTAGTCATGCTGGTAACAAACCACATTCATTTGATTCAACAACTTCCGTGATTCTAAGTATAGGGGACCAGCTGAAGTGGCAACTTGCACATGCACAAATTCACAACTTCCATGTTTTCTTGCAGGGTTTCCTCAGCTCGGTGCCGATGTGCCTCAGCTCGGCATCATTATGCCTTGTCTCGGCCTTTTACAGGATCATTCATGGAGAAGGGTTGATCCTATTCGGATATCTTTGTATGGGCTCAGCCTATTTTCTGTTCGGCCCATAGGTTCAGTCTCGCAGCTCGGCCTAGCCCAGCACCACGGTTGGACTAGCCTTTCCACTGCGGGTTGGGCCCAAGTGCTTGAGGAATTGGGTGGACTATTGATCATGAAGTTGGGCTCAATTGGTTTGCCCATATACTCATCTAACCCACTTGGATATGGACTTCAGTGGATTGGGCCGGCCCAAGGCTTGGACTCGACCCATTTCACATTTAGCCCCTTCATTTGCCCCCTAGCTCGTGCTAAGGTTCCCCTTGGGGGAGCTATTGCTCTACTTCCCAAGCGTCACGTCGTTTTGGTTTTCCCCAGTTCAGCCTTGGTGATGGTTCAATCCTGACACACAATCCCTACATGCATCCTTTCATGGTGACACGTGGCGATGTGAGATAGGTGTGCAGAGATAGTGTGTCGATTCCATACTGAAGGTCGTGCTCTGTGTACCTACGCGCCAGCTGGTGTAATTAATGCTCTGGCTGTCAATACAAATTCCTTTATCTGTTTTTTCTTTCCTCTAGAGAGTTTCAAAGAGAGAGAAAGGACTCTTCCCGTTCCTCTGAACCAGTCCCGTTGGTGCTGCTACTCAGACTTTTTTCGCCGCTGATCTTGCTCTGCTGCCACTACTCTAATCTCTGTAAGTCCTCTGGTGATTCTTCTTCTCTTGACTCTTTCTGTCTTAATCTTCTTGTTTGGCCCGCTTGTTGTCTGTGTTCCACACTCTGTTATCTGATGACTACCTCTATCCCATTAGGTTTGTTGAATGGGGAAGTTCCGCTCACTGGTTGATACCCCTGAGGCCATGGCTATGTTCTGCATGGACTATAATATTCCCAACGACGTTACCCTTTCGTTGGCGAAAGTAGACGCCAAGCGTATGGGCATGAGTAATACCGTCACTTTTCCCATCGCGGCCATAGTCGATGGAGGGGTTTGGTTTCCCCTTGACCCATTGGTGCGCCGGTTTCTACATCAAGGCTAGTTAACCCCAATACAAGTATCTGTGAACCTTTTCCGTGTTGTTTGCGGCGTGTCTGCCCTCAATAGACGATTAGGTTTGAACCTTGACATATGGGATATCTTAGGTTGTTACACTCTTTCTCATAACAAAGACCACAGCACATATTACTCTCGTGTTCGCTCATTTGATTGTCATTTGGTTACTGGGCTGCCTGATTCGGATAAACACAACGATGATTTCTTACAAGTTGGTGGAAACTGGGAGTTTCCCGCCGGAACTGAGTTTCAGTCTGAGAGGATGCCCCAGAAAGACGGCTACCCAGGTTCGGGCCTCTCCTTCTAATGCCTTTTGTATTTCTTACTTTATTTTGGGTGTTGCTCTAATGGATCACTTCTTTTTTGCAGAGGCCTCTTGTTTCCAACGAAGACCGAACCGAGAGAATGCTGAAGCTATAAAAGTGACCCTGAGGTATAAAAAGAGATCTGCACCTGAGTTATTGGAATACCAGTCTACTTACCGTTCTACTATTCCGAAGAAGGCGAGGCTCGTTGCTTCCCTTCTGAACTCTGATACCAAGACTGACACGTCTCTCACTCCTTTGGTCACGAACTGTCGCAGGAGTCAGGGTGCACTTTCTGAGAGAGCGTCCTCCCCTGCCCCCAGTTTCGGAGGGGGCGGGCCTGTGGCGAAAAGAAGGCTGTTGTGGATTTAGAGGCCGAGGCTTTCGGAGCCTCCGATGCTTTGAAAACCCCTCTGGAAAAGACTGAGGCGAAGAGCCTCATGGAAGTGAAGATGGAGGTGGGAGCTTCTGGGACCCCTGCGACTGTTGCCGAGCCCTCAACTATGGTCGCTGCGTGAGCAAAAAAGAGCAGAAGAGAGGCAGGCAAAGCAGTGGTGGGGGAAACTTCTGAGGATCCTGCTGAGGATGAGGCTTTTGAGAAATGGGAGCCGCCAATGTCGCATGAGGGCAGGCCCATTTCCACTTCTGATTCAGTTGTCTCTTCACGAGATTTTGCCTTTGATTTGACTAAATTTTTGTTGATGCCGGTTGACATGGCTGACCACAATGGGCCCCGTGATATTCCTATCCTGAAGGGGACCCTTCAGATGATGATTGCTGTAAGTGTTTCCTCGTTTTGCTTGTCATTATTGTTGCGTTACTGTCTCCTTTTCTCTTAATTCTCCGTTGTCTTTTGCAGTGTATCTAGAAAATGCATCTGTCCATTACCCGTGCTGAAGAGCTAGAAAGGGCCGTGCTGGAGGCTACAATGAACGCTGAGAGACTGACGGTAAGCTTGGAGACAGAGAATGAAGGATGCTGAACTGCGGAGAGGGAAGTATTTTGCTTGAACAAGATTGTCACTTCAGCTGAAAAATCGAAGGAGGCTGCCATTAGGATACAGACTCAACTCGAGGAGAAGGTGGTCGAGCTGGAGGCCGTTATTGCCGTGATGGTTGCCGAGCGTTCTGCGCTGGAAGCCAAACACTGGCAACAGGGTTGGGATGAAGCTGGGGCCGCCTATAAGGAAGAGGTGCTAGTGCTGCGAGATAAGCTCTTTCTAAAGGGTTAGACGAGTGCTTTGGCTGCTGCGTTGGTTCCTGAAGGCTCTGCCCTGTTTCAAGATGTCCCCATTCCTTCGAAATCCTTGGGTTCGAAGACTGTTTCCACCCCTGTTGTTCTTCCAGCCGAAGTTTCCCCAGAAGCTAATTCTACAAACAAGACCCAGGACAGTAAAGTTACCACTGAAACGGTGGATGTTGAAGGGATTGAAACTCTGGAGACCGAAGCCGCGGGAGATGTGGTTAAGGGGGCTTCTACTTCTCAGGAAGTTGGAGTTACCTCTACTTTTCCTCCCCCAGACGGCCTGGACAAAATTGTTGATGCTGCTCCTGAGTTTTCCTCTGTTAATGAAAGTTGATGTTGAAAGGATTTGAACTTTTTTGCTTTTTTGTTTTGATGTATTGTGGCTCGGTCTCCATGACGAGCTTTATTTCTGCACTTACCAAGACAAATTTTCTTTTCTCTTTTCTTGTCTTTGCTGCTGGTTATGAGGCCATCTGGGCCTTTTGTTAGATGATAGAATTTTCTCTTTGAACTTGCAATCTGATGCTGGTTGGCTTTTATGTCTATATGTTTTCTATACTGCCTGCCCCCGGCCGAGCACTGTTGGGACCTCGGGTCCGAATAGATGCTCGGTCTGGTTCTATACTGCTTTTAAGTAGATGCTTTGTCTAATTCTGTACTGCTTGCCCCCGGCCGAGCATTGTTGGGGCCTTGGGGCCGAACTGATGCTTGTTGTGGTTAACGGATGTGTGGTATGGCTATGCTTGAGTTTGTAAGTGGATCTTACTTAGGTCCAGGTTGGTTTTAAAAGAAAATAATTGTTTTCCCCCACCTAGAGCTAAATAAGATTGGTACTGAAGATTGTGCTCTTAGATAGAATTGCTTAAGTCTGTTACAACTTTGACAGCGCAGATGCATTTGAATAAGATAAAGGCATGAAGAAGTGTCTTACTCAGGTCCAGGTTGGTTTGAAAGAACAATTGTTTGCCCCCACCTGGAGTTGAGTAAGACTAATGGTGGGAGTTTGCTCCTGACAGAGCCCGGTCATGCTTGTTCCAACTATGTTTGTTTGAATCAGTACTGAAGTGTTGACGTGTTGGTACTTAAGAAATTCTGTGGAATCAAAGACGTTTACTTAAGATATGTTAGTGTGGTTTCCACCAAGCAATTCCACTTGGCTAAAGTCCAATTTAGTTGCCAAACATTATTCCACCAAGCAATTCCACTTAGCATGTTTGAGTGCTAACCAAATTTAAATTTCGTCCAGTCGTTCTGAAACTAAGTCCATTTGGGTTAAGACCAAAGGTAATTCCGTTTGATAAACATCAAAGCTAATTCTGTTTGGTTAGAACCAAAGCTAATTCCGTTTGATAAACATCAAAGCTAATTCTGTTTGGTCAGAACCAAAGCTAATTCCGTTTGATAAACATCAAAGCTAATTTCGTTTGGTCAGAACCAAAGCTAATTTCGTTTGATAAACATCAAAGCTAATTACAAGAATTTGATAAATTTAAGAGAAGTGGGGAAGCATTTATATTGGTCAACAGATAAATGACTTTACATTTTGATAGAGAAGTTGAGGGACAATTCTATTGATAATATTTCCTGAGATTTGCTACGTTCCAGGGCTGAGGTATAGCTCTGCCATTCAGATCCTCTAGGTAGTAAGCTCCATTTCCAACAACGACTATGACTTTGTAGGGACCTTCCCAATTAGGCCCAAGTTTGCCCTTGCCAG